GTTAATGAATATGGTTGCTCAAGATCTAAGGTACTTTTCACCTCTCATTTATTATTTATTTACCATGTTTAATATTTATCTCCATATAACCCAACCATTCATTTATAGTGGTAGGAAAATTCAAGTTGCTTTGTGGGATGGTTTTTCATTGAAGTTGAACAGCTACATATCGGAACATCAAAATGATAATGCCCCCGTTATCGTCCTCCTATGTATGGAAAAGCTCAAGACTTAGGGTGGTAAGAATATTTTTTATTTTAGATTTCCATGTCATTACATTAATATTTTTTAATAAGATAAATTAATTTATTAGTTTAAATTTTATTTCTAGGTCAGCCTCAAGTCGGTAACTGTTTGTTTGGATCAAGATTACATATCAATGATGATATGCATCACATTTCAGAATTCAATAAAGCATATGTCTTCTATCAATAAATAGTAGCTTAATGTTTTATATTTCATTATTATTAATCATTAATTATTTATATTGTTTAATTTCTTTTTTTCTTCTTCTTATATATAGTATTGCTGATATGGATTTGAATGTTGATTCATCCATTAATAATTCACAGCTTAATACCGATACTGTTGTGGCGAAGGCAGAAGATTACTACCTCCGTTTTCCAATCAAGAACATTGATGATATTCCAGATTACAATAAGGTATACTTAACTGTATTAATATTTTTCGATTAAGTTTTAAAATTTATTCCGCATAACACAACGAATATATATAAGATATTACTTTTTATATATTCTTTTTACAATTTTTGAACCAGGAAATAGGTTTGTCCATCATTGCTACTGTCACCGGCTTTGATTTAGACGAATGCTAGTATTCACTTTTATTGTCATGACTGTTCAAAAAAAGTAAGTAAGAATGATGATGATAGTAATGTTGAACCATTTACTTGTGATGGTTGCGGTGGAGTTTCTGATGTTTACGGCAAGTAAGTTCATATTTTTACATCTATAAACTTATTGTGACATTAATATTTATTAGATTGTTTCCATGTTTATTTTAGTGTCCATTAAATTTTTATTTTATAATTTTTAGGATGAGGGTCGTCATTCGTGTTCAAGACAAAACTAGGTCTGCATCTTTTGTATTGTTTGACTGTCATGTTAAATATGTTATTCACCGCAGTAATCAATGGTTGATGGAAAAGATATCAAATATAGCATTAATTTTTATTTTTTATGTATTTTCAATATTGGAAAAATTAACTATCGATTTTTTACGTACTTAGTGATTATTTCTTTCAGTTTGTATATCAGCAAGTTAATTGTATATTGTTACTGCATTTTATTTTCATTGGGTTGTATTAATTGTTAAAATGTTTTATTATATTTTTATTTAGGATCAAGGACGTCAAAATATCCCTGATGAGTTTAATAGCTTTCTAAATAGAAAGTTTGTTTTTAAAGTTCAGATTTCAAAGTTTAATCTCCAGAACAATTATCGTGCCTACATTGTTCATAAGATGAGTGATAATGAAGGTGTAGTTGGTGTGGTTTTCAAACGTTCACCTGCATATGAACAATACAATATTCATTCTAATGGTACTTCTATTAACAAGTGTCTTAAGGTAAAACGTCACTACATATAAGTTTGAATTTAAACATTGGTAATAAAAATATTTTGTTAACATTTTATTATATTAATTTTTTACAGGATAAGAGTGTTTTGGTTGATGGTGACAATGTTGATATTGTTGATCTTGACGCAGTCACACCAACAACTACTTCCGTCAAGCGGCCTATTGAGATTGTTACCACCACCGAATCTTTTGAATGGTCTTCTTCTAAAGATGGTGTTGCTACTCCTATCTTGAAGATCCCAAAAATGGATAAGTTGTAATAAGTTTAACCCATTCATCATTATTTAACATTTTACTTTAAATACTTTTGTTGAGAGTTTGAATTTGTTTGCTTATGGATTTGTTTGACAAGTAATTTGTTTTGGTTTTGAATTTTATATTTGTTTTCATTTGGTTTAAACACGACGGTATTCGTGTTGTTTTAGACAATTTCATACTTATAATGACTTATTCATATGACTATTAAGTGTTACATGTTTTGCTTCTTATAAAGTGTATACAAAGTGGATTGTAGTTTCTATTTTGTTTTTAACAGATTTAGTTAATTGAAAAATACTTTGACTTTAATCTTTAATGTTTTGAATTTGTGAATTTATATTTTCTTATTTACAGGGATCATTTATGTAATGATTATGATTACAATGTTATTAACAGAACTAATGACCATTTTTTTAAAATTTTAATTTACATGACCATTTCTTCAAATAATAATGTTATTATGTGTTTGTTTGTGTTTTTTTGTTAATCATTTGATTTGATAAATTACCATTTTTAAACAATTCAGTTTACATGGACCATTTTTGTAATTGTTATAAAATAGTATAAAGGGACCATTTTAAACCATGATGGCATTTGACAAAATAACATCCTACTTTCAATTGTTCTTCAAAGTGATTTGACCATTATGCCCTTATAGCAGTGTACTTATGAATCATAAATACAATTATATTATGTTTTTGCAGAAGGTGGAATGGCACATAACAGTGGCAATGAAATCTTCTTTGATAGCCTTTCTGACAATGATGCGTCGAAGGAAACATGGAATATTCGTGTTCAGGTAGTCATGATTTGGAAGCAGACTTACAAAAACAACCCAAACATGATGAGCAACTTGGATATGATTTTAATGGACCAGCAGGTAAGAATTTTACTAAATTAAAATAAACTAATATTTTAATTTTTATTTCCAGGCCAGCCTCAATTTGGTAATTGTTTGTTTGGGTCGATGTTGCATACCAATGATTATATGCCTCACATTTCAAAATTCAAAAAAGCGTATGTCTTCTATCAAAAAATAATAGCTAAGGTTTTGGATTTTCGCCATCCCTTATATGAGGACTGTTATAGGTGCTTCAACAACTCTACTTTCTAGAGGTGTTGGCAAAACTGTTATTTCCATATGTTAGTCAAATGGACATTTTCTTACTTTTGATTTATTAGCATATCACATTAGACAAACCTCACAATTATAGATGCACTCATTAAAACTAATAAGATATAAGTTTTGTTTAGATTGTTAAACTTATTATTTAAAATTAATATATACTTTTATTTTAATATCTGATATATACGGTATGTATGTTAGGACATTTAATATAATGATGCCCTATAGAACATAATATAATCTTAAGATCCATTTATAGGTTAAAATTTGTGTAATACACATGTTCATAACATAAATGAGCAAAAATAACAACGTACTTTTAAAGTGTGTTGCTATAAATGACAGAAATGGTTCCTGTTACTATTTTTTGTTAATAATTTTTTTTTATAGTTTCTAGAACTTAATAAAATTATATATTTCGGGGCATAACCCTAAAACAACAATCGAAAGTACATAGCTTTAGTTCATAACCCTAAAATAAAAAACTATACTTCGAAATTTAAAAAAAAAATTATATTTAAATAATCTATGATATTTTAATGAAGGATCCAATCGAAATCATATGTAATATTTCATCTAATGAGACATGTATTATTAAATCACAAGTACTATTAATATAACACATTAACATATTTTAAATAGGAAGATTAAAATACGCATATACATAGTTTCTTTTGGCAATTAATATATATTTTCACTATTTACTTTCTATAAATTAAGAATATAATGAGCAGTTTAGAACATTAAAGATCGTCCATGATCCTGTTTCCAAGTTATTGAATATTCATTTTTGACAAAAAAAAATTAAACGTCTAAATGGAAATTGAAAGGACTAATGAAAGCAATCAATCTCTAATATTTAAACCAATATCAATCGCCGCCTGCAATCTAAATTCAGATGTTATTGGCTTAAATGCATTAATAAATTGCCACAACTACCAATTCCAGTTGTCACCCTATAAACCATTTTCCACTCATTTGATAAACACACACACACAACCATCTACTCCTGAAACACGCCCACCATGAAAAGCCAAGAATTTGAATCCACGTCCTACACACTGATCATCCACTTCCGAAACGTCATTGAAATCATTCAATCACTGCAAAGCAAGATCGAAGAGGGAACATGAATGATGTTCGACCTTGACTCCGCCGTGGAACGCCGTCCACACTACCACAACTTCCTCATTGCAGAGAATACCCTCGCAGAGGGGATTTCTCAATACCTCTCTATCGGGAACAACCTATCTTTAATTCTAGAGGGCTGTTAGAAAAGGATCAAGCACTACAAGGACCTGATGAAGAACCTCCCTAAGGACTACCCATAAGTCCTATTCATCAGCACACTTAGTTAATCTACTTTTCCTTCTTTTTCGTATGTAAATCTTCTTTTGCTTCAAAGTGTGTGCTATGGGCTTTCTTTTGGATGTATGCAGTCTAACACTAGAATTGTCTTTTGGATGTTGAAATGAAGTTGAATGAATTGTAATATTAATTTAAGTATATGTTTTTTCTATTTAAATATTGTCATTTTAGATATTTGATTCGATCAGGTTGTTATTTTTACCATTATATCCCTAATAAGCTTTTTCAGCTTATTTTAACTTCTGAACAATATCAATGTACTTTTTGACCAATGTTAATCTAACTAACACCAAATGTATATAATCAAAATCTAGATTAAACTTTTGGATGTATGCATTCTACACTACAACTGTGTTTTGGATGTACAAATGAAGTATAATGAAATAATGAAACGTAATATTAAGTTAATTTTATATGTTATCTTTTCAAAGAATGGATTTTTAGTCATCAAATTTGATCAGTTTGATAAATTTACCATCATATCCCTCAAATCACAAAGATCTAACAAAGAACTTTCCAAATTGTGTATCTAACAAAATTTTATAAATTTAAAAGGTTATGGTATAATATACATGTTAGTTTGCAAGATATAGCAGCCAGGTTCTCTTTTTCCAAACCAAAGTGACTTATTTTATTGTTCATATTTTTTAAAATTGACAAGTTATTTTTTAACACTTTAACTTGTATTTTTGTTCCTTAAGAGAAAAATAATATAACATTAGTAAAAAAAAGTAAATAATATATATAGCGATAATAATAAAGGAATAGAGATCAAAATGATCAACTTACCATAAAATGGGGAAATATGTTTCTAATTAAAAAGGATAATGATGGAAAGAATTTAAGGTGTCGCCTGAGTTCCGACACCATACATGGCGGAGTCGTCCATCTGAATTGTTGGAAATAGTGTCCAAGGTCATTAACTATTGGTGATCTTTCTAATAATAACATGGTCCTTTTGGGTTGCCCTCAAGACCCAAATTGAGTAGAATAAATAAATGAGAAATTGGTTTATTTATTATTATGGTTAATAATTAATTAGAACTAAATGGAAATACATTTTGGGAATTAATTAACAGTTTAATTAATCAAAGGGTTGAATATTCATTAGTCGATAGTTGGTTAATCAAGAATGTTCTAAAACCCTTATGGAATTCGGGTTGGATGAAAATCACTTCATCCCACATGGGAGAAGGAGCGAATTTCGTTCTAGGTATTCCATCCCACATGGAAAGGAGTACAAAACCTCAGAGGGATCTAAGACTATAAATATGGTCTTAGGGATTTCATTATTCCTTGCACCTGGGCTTAAAGTTTCGCTAACTTTTCTTCCTCCCCCTTTTAGGGACGATTTCTAACCCTCTTAGGGTTTGTGAAATTGACCCTTCTCCTAGTTATTTTTATTTCACTATTTGGTGTCAATGAGTGTGATACCATTAGAGGGATTTTGGTTTGGGTCCTCTCATCCAAGCAACTTCGTGGAGGATCAAGATCTCAAGCATGAAGATCAAGGGCTACATAAGAGGTATGTTTTTCTTCTTTGTTTTTATGTGTAAGTCCCTGATCTGCTTGTGTATCAATCAGATCCGTTTGATGGTGCGGAATCCCAATCAAACAGATGATGTCAGATCAAATGAAGAAGAAGGAGAAGAAGAATATGATGAATCTTGTATTATTTGATGATTAGAATGTAGATCCAAATACAAGATTCACACACAACACACTCTCTTCTTCTCTCTTGTTTCTCTCTCTAAAACACCTTAGAATACACACACTTAAGCTCCTTGGCCGTACACTCACATGCACTCCTCACCCTATATATATGAGACACCAGCCGTACACCCGAGTACGGCCGTACACAGGTGTGCAACTGTACACACGAGTACGGTCGTATACCGCCACAAAATTACAGAAAATATATTTTCCTAGAAAAGCAAAGTATAAACCAAATTTATAGACCCAAAAATCTCCCCCTTGGTTTATAGCTTTCTTTTCTAATTGACCCAACAAGCCCCCCTAAAAACGTAGCTGGCTTTTCTTGTTAATATTCATTGGGAGCTTGGCTTCAGCATTAATCTTCAATTTCTTCACAGCATCAAAATGAACATAATGAATCTTCAATAAATGACTTCATCTTGAGCAGTTGGGCTTTTCTTCAAAAATTGACTCTGAACGCACATTGGGTGAGGAGGCTTCTTGAAAAAAAAAAATTTAAAGATAGCGCTTTCAGCTTGAGAATCTTCAGAGAGAACAATAGAGAAATCTAATCTTCTGGATCACTTCAGCAGGTTCACAGATAGCAGCAGACTGATTGAGGAGGCTTCAATGCAATCTGTCACATAATCTTCAAGAACAGCTTGACCTTGCTTCTAGGGTTGAAGGATTGAATGGTGAAAGAATAATCTGCATTTCTTGCTCCTTCGAATGAGAATTCTTCGATGCTCATGGATGAAGCCTTGGCTCAGAAATTTTCGATTCAGTCTCCATGAGTCTCATCTACATCTGAAT